GAGGAGGGCAAGATGGAAAGGAAGTGAGAAGAGGAGGAAGGGAGGAGATGCACCCAGGCAGCTGATTTCATCGCCGCAGGCGTGTCATATCCCCCAGCATGGCCTCGACGTAGCTTTCCTCGTCAAGTTTCATCAGCTGCTCATGACGTTCACTCTATCCCGTCCTGTCGCCACATACGAGTCACTCACCGCAAGTCGGTTGGAGGCCTTCGTCGGGTTCAGCGCCAGGAGATAGCGAGTGCTGAGGAGATCCCGGTGACTGTTTCCTTCCTCCGGGAGGGAGGGAGGGAGGGAGGGAGGGAGGGAGGGAGAGATCTCCACTCTGGTGTTTTCTCCATAATTGCTTGTTATGTGCATGCGTCGATGAGGAGAGTGAAGACTGACGCAAGTTTTCTCACTCGGCAGTTGCAGTCATGGATCTTTTTGGCATCTTCGGAAAGAAGGATGAAAGCTCGACGGAGCAGAAACCAAGTGATTTCGAGCAGCAAGACTCCGTTCAAGACCGCCTGTATGCGCTGGAGAAGCTGATCGAGAAGAGCGAGTCCTACTGCGATCTCATGCATACTCTCATAGAGAAGGACGTCTTGTCGGTGAAAACATCCCGGCCCTCCTCTCTCGCACTTGTCTCACCCGGGAGCAGGTCGAGACGCAAACATTCGCCAACGCAAGCGCCGGCTCTCGCTCCACCGTCAGCGCGCGGGTGGCGAGGAGGAAGAGGAGCTGACTTGCACGCAGGTGGGGATTATGATCAAGGGTGTGGTAATCGACAACCTTCTGACTGGAGGGCCGGCGGCCAACAGCAAGAAGATGGCGAAGGGAGACACGATCTTGAAAGTTGATGGCAAGAGCTGTACCTCCGACAACGTCCTCGACCTTCTCCGAGGAGAGGATGTTCCTGGCTCGCTGGTGGTGCTCACCCTACAGCGAAACAGGGTGAGGGCGGCAAAGGAGGGAGCAGGGAAGATGGAGAGAGCGGGAGGGAGCAGGGAGCAGGGAGCAGGGAGCAGGGAGCAGGGAGGAAGGAAAAGGGAGGAAGGAGGAGGAGAGAGGGAAGAAGAAAGAGAGAGGTTGAGATATGAGTAGCAAGAGGTCGTTGGGATTGCTGATGTTAGTAGGAGGAGAAGGAGAAGGAGAAGGAGAAGGAGAAGGAGAAGGAGAAGGAGAAGGGCAGGTTTAGGAGAAGGGCAGGTTTCTTCTGAGCATGGATACGGCAGGAGGAATTCGACGTCGCGCTGGCGAGGATGGCGACGGGGGAGCTGGCGGACAAGAAGAAGATGTTCGAGCTCTTCACAGCCGTCAAGGATCACGCAGTGAAGAGTCAGGACAGAGACGTCGCTTCCATCGTCGACGAGTCCATCACCTTGTGGACCAACATGCTCGAGGCCGACGCTGTCCACGACCAGACCATCGTTGACAACGTGCAGGCAATGCAGCTGGAGGGGATCATCTTCGTCAAGAAGCTCAAGGAGCTCCTGGCTCAGCTCCGCGCCATCTACGTACAGGACATGAAGTTCTTCCAGAAGGTTCGCGCTGCTCCTCTTCCTCCCGATCCCTTCGACCCCTACAGTCCTCGTCCTTCATTCTCTTTCTCCTCCTCTACTGTTTGTTCTCTCGTCTTTGACAGAGACTCTGTTTTTCCTCCTTGTCTCCCCCTTGTTCTCCTGATGTCTCCTGCTCTTATCACACTTGCTTTCCCTCCCCTCCCTCCCCTCCCCTCTCTCATCCTCAGTTTCCGCTAGCCTCTAAGCCCATCACAGCTCGCCGACGACCTCAAGTCCGAGAAGGGGAACAGCGCTCTGCTGGAGAAGCTGCAGAAGGAGAATGCAGACATGAAGGAAGAGCTTGCCAAGGTCAGCTCTCGTATCCTTCTTCCCCTCGGTACGCCTGACGGTCATGGCGCAGCTGAGGGGCATGGGGGATGCGCTCAAGTCGAGAGACGAGGAGATCGAGAGGCTGAAGAAGCAGCTCAAGGAGGAGCAGGAGGGCAGAAGCCGCGCTGAGGGAGAGCTCAAGAATTTGCGGGACGAGCACATGAAGTGCGATGAGATCATCAAGGAGCTCAGGTAGATTCTATCCCCTCCTCCTACTCTCCTTTGCTCCTCCTCTCCTCCCGTCCTCCTCCTTATCATCATCATCATCATCATCATCATCACTACCACCACCACCATCTCCATCATCACCATCATCATCATCACCACTATCATCATCATCATCATCATCATCATCATCATCATCATCATCATCATCATCATCATCACTCCCCTCTTCCTGTAACGCTCTCGATACCTCGTACTCATTCTTGTCTCCTGCTCTTCTTTCCTGGCTCATCTCTCGCAACAGGAACCAGCTCGAGTTGTCCAAGTCGCGCGTCAAGCTCGGAGCCTCCGCGCCTCGCAATCCTCGCTGCGGCGTCGGCATCGTCTTTGCCAAGGACGAGACCGACCAAGTGCTGGAGGGGAAGATCTTCGTGCAGTCCATTGTTCCTGGAGGAGCTGCTGCAGATTGCAAGAAGATCCAGGTAGAGCCGGCGGAGGGGGGAAGAGAGGGAGGAGGAGGAGGAGGAGGAGGAGGAGGAGAAGGAGGACCGAAGTGATTGGGGGAGAGGGGAGCAGGAGCAGGAGAGGGTGAAGGTGGAAGGAGGAGGCTGATTTTCCTTTGCAGCCCAACGACGTCCTGGAGAAGATCGATGGGAAAGTCATGGGGGACTTGCAAGAAGTTTTTCAGAATCTTGTCGGAATGGAGGGGACGGAGGTAAGAATCTTCTCAATGCCAGTCATCATCATCTTCCTCCTCCTCCTCGCCCCCCCCCCCCCTTTTTCTACCTGCTCTTCCTATCTCCTCCTCTTCCTACCTCCTCCTCCTTCCTCTGTCTCCCCCTCTGTCTCACTATCACTTCAGGTCACCCTAGAACTCTCTCGCGCCTCTCAAGTTTTCACCGTCACGCTGAACCGCAAGCCAGCCAACACAACTCAGCTTGTGTGAGACGAGGACGAGGAGGCTGAGGGGAGTGAGGAAGGAAGAGGAGAGCGAGGGTACGACAAGAGTAGAGGACGCGAAGCAGTCAAGTCACCTTGTACTACTTCATCTTCATACTACACATCCCGATCCTTTCCTCCTCCTCCTCCTCCTCCTCCTCCTCCCTCCCTCCCTCCCTCCCTCCCTCCCTCCCCTCAAAGAATAAGTTCATGTCTGTGCTGGGCAAGTGCTCTGCGTGCAGGCCTCAGGAAACTTGGAAGTTCCGTCGACCGTCAGGACCAGCCAGTGGATGCCGTCGACGTAGCCGTCCTGTCCGACCTTGTACACCATGCTGCCAACATCTCAGAAGAGAGCAACGATGGAGGATGAGAGAGGGAGAGGAGAGGAGAGGAGATAAAAAGAGAAGAGATGAGAAGGAGGAGGAATCAGATGTTAAAAGAAGTAGAAGGATCACAGTGAGGTCAAGACACGACAGTGACAGTGACACTTGAGCTTGCAAGTCCTCAAGGAGGAGGAGGAGGTGCAGGGCAGACCTTCCGATGTCTGGTGAGTAGTAGGTGACAGTAGCAGACGAGACGCCCCACATGGGAGCCCGTGGGTTTCCGTTGTACTCCTTGACGAAGACGATGTACTTGCCTGGTCGCATCCTCGAGAGGGAGATGGTCTCGGGGCCGTACCCTTGCGTGTTGTCCAAGTCCAGTCGCGCCTCCCCGAAGCAGTCCTTGTTCCTCCAGCTCACCTCGCAGCCGGACGCTCCTCCCACCCCCGGAACGAGCATGTGAATGTCCAGATCGGACGGCTGCTTGCCCCATGAGAGGATGAAGCGAGCTGAGCCGGGCGCCAGCACGGGCGACATGGACAGCTCAGCTTTGCGCTCCACCCCGACGTCGCAGTTCTCCTGATACAGCGACATCATCCCCGCCTGAGTCACAACGCACGTGTACTTCCTCCCTGGAGGAGGAGGAGGCACATTCAGCGTCGCCTCCGCCCCGTCAACGATGCCGTCCCACACCAGCGCCTTCCCGAGGAGTAGGAAGAGACGAGGGTCCTTAGGCATCTCGAAGCCTCGCTCCTCCGCCCCATCCGATGACTTCCTGCCCTTGCCCAGAGACTTTCCGTCCACCCCATTGATGACAGAAATCGTGGTGCCGTAGTTGCGAGCTGACGGCACGTCGGGGGTCTCGCTGGGATCTCCCACGAAGACTGCCTCCCCTGCTCCGAGGAACATGTGCTTCTCCTCCTGCCCGCTAGAGCTCTGCCACTGAAACTTGTAGTCCACCTGACCAGGACGGTCAAGAAAAGTACTAGTGGGAGGGAAAGGTAAAGACAAAGAGGTACAGGAGGGAGAGAAGGAGAGAGAGAGAGAGAGGAAGTACAGGAGGAGCAGGAGCAGGGGCAGGAGCAGGGGCAGGGGCAGGGGCAGGGGCAGGGGCAGGGGCAGGGGCAGGAGCAGGACCTGATCGCCGACGATGGAGGTGGAGAGCATGTAGATGCCCTTCTTGCTCAAGCACGTGGTCCCCACACATGGCGCTCCCTTCCTCCGGTTGTTCTTGACGGCCTCCATGGGCACCCCGTTGATCGTCACCTGCAGCGTGTCCCCAGAGTCCCCGCCATCGGACGCGTACACTACTACGTGCACGATCCACTTGCCGTTGGCGGAGAGAGCGATCGACCCTGACAGCTGCCCAGTTGTCGCCGCCCCCAGCACGACCTTGCCGTCCACCTGCTCCACTCCGTCCGTCTCCGTGCGACGGTCCCACCACAGCAGAGGAAGGGGAGGAGGAGTCACACCCGGTAGGAGAGGTGGTCTCACGAAGGCTGGAGGGGGGGGAGGAGGAGGGGGCGGGGGAGGAGGAGGAGGCTGAGACTCGATGAACTCTTCCCTTCGGCGTTGAAGCGCCTGGATGTCTCTCTCGATCTCTCCCATCTGCTCGTTCGCCTCCTCCAGCCATCCGGTGATGTTCCCGTTGGCCTCCTTGCGCCTCGTCGCCTCCTGCTCCACCGCCTCCTCCATCCTCAGCTTGAGCGAGCTCATCTCCTCCCTCCATCGCACAAGCTTCGCCACCTCCCTCTCCACCCGTGCATCTGAAGCGCTGTACTCCTCTCCTATCCTCCTCGACAGAGCTTCCATATTTGACTTCACCGGCTCCAGCTCTGCCTGCATGTTGCCCACCTGCCGCAGCCCCCACTCGATCCTCTTCAGCATGGCCTGCAGGCTGCTGAGCTTCTCGTTCATCCTCGTCCTCTTGGTGCGAGACTGTGACGTCACCTCGTCCACGGTTCTGTCCAAGTCTTCGATCTTCTTCGTTGTCGCCTCCTGCCAGGACCTGCTTGTCGAGTTGACAGCTAGAGTCTGTGCTCGCTTCTCGCGGAAACCCACCCGCTCCTCGGACCCGAACGACGACGCGTTCCCCTCAATCTGCCGCAAGTACTCCCGCAGAGACGACATGGAGGCCTGGATAGCCTGCCGGGCCCGGTCGACGTCACTGGAGGGAGCGGAACTCTGCTGGATCGTCTTGGTGATGTTGTCCTGCAGCTCGTCGGCCTCCCTTGCCGACGCGCGGCCGAAGGTCTCGAACTCGCGCTGCCGGTTGCGGATGATGTTCGCCTGCTGCGAGTGAATCACGTCCAGGATGTGATCGACCTCCTCGTTCACAGCCGTCTGGTTGTGCGACAGCTCTCGTTTCAGCAACCACATCTTCTCCTTCATCCCCTCGATGTCCTGCTCGAACTCCCTCTCCCTCCTCGCGTTCCCTCCTTGAAGCCCGCTCAGTCGTGACGTCAGCTCGTTCTGCTTGCTGCTCATAGCTGCTACCTCCTGGTCGAGGCTCTCTGCAGCTTCGCGCAGGCGATCAGTGAGCTTCTTAGACGAGGAGGGGATCAGCTGGGATAAGAGCCCCGCCAGCGCCTCCTTCGTCCTCGCAACGGCCGATGAGATCTGCGCAGCGACCTCCGAGTCCCTTCGCCTCACGTTCGACTTCAACTCCGACAGCTTCGAATTTGCGTCTGCTGCCGCACTGGAGATGTTGGCTGCCAGCGCTCGCACCCTCTCCGCTAACCCTCCCCTGTAGCTCCGCTGGTCTCGCCGTGCTCTCTCGACGTCCTCCCTCTGCTGCGCAGCGTTGTTCGCCTCCCTCTCGTCGAGCGCACGGATCTTCGTCCGCAGGTCCAGCTCTGCTTCCTCTGCCTCACTCTGTAGACTCGCGATGTTGCTCTCTAGCGCCCCTGTCTTCTGGTCAACCCAAGACCGGATGCCATCGATGGTGTCCTGGATCTGCTTGCTGACCTTGGAGCTCAGGGAGGTCAGGCTGGAGGAGAGCTCCTGCTTCAACTTCACCGTGTCTGCCCCGTGTTTCTCCCTCAGCCGCTGCTCAGCTCCTTTGATCTTGCCCACCATCGTGTCCAGGTCCACACCAGCTTGTGCGATCTTCTGCTGCAGATCAGCAGACACTTGCTCTTTGGCAGCGAGCAGCGAGATCTTGGCACGTTCGATCTTGGACGAGAGGTCGTCGAGGTCCTGCTGAGAGTTTGCGGCCAGTTGGGTCCTGCTGGTATCTGCAGCACTCTTGACCTCCTCCAAGGCAGACGTCAGCTGGAGCACGTCCCTCTGCGCATCATCCCTCATCCTCTTCAGCTGAAGCTTCAGCGCTTGCATCTTGACCTCCAGCTGCGCGTTCAGCGAGCGTTGCTCGCTTACTTGCGCCCTCCAGGAGGCGTTGAGGCTCGCCGATGACGCGTCCTCCTCCCTGATGAGGTGTACGATCCCGTCACTAACACGAGTCGCCTGCTCCTTGAGGTCCTCGTCTAGCGTCTTCTTGTGGTCTCGCATGCTCGCCATCAGTCCTGCCTTCACACCGCTGAGAGCGCGAGTGATCTCCTCCTTGATCATCGCGCTGTCGGTCGAGCGCTTCCTCAGCACAGACTCGGCCGTCTCGTTCAGCCGGCGCTGCAAGTTCACGATGCCAGCATGCAGCGTTGAGATCGCCTCCTCGGCAGCATCTCGGTTGGTCTCAAGGGCAGTCAGCAGCTGCTGCAGGCGACCAGATATGAGGAGCCTATGCTGGTCATGCTGCGACTTTAGCTGCTCGAACTTGCTCTCAGCGTCCGCAAGCTTCTGGTGGTTCTCCTCCTCGTCCTCCAGCAGCTCATCGTTCCAGGACTTGATCGTACGCACAAGTGCCGCATGCAAGTCCGCCTTCTGGAGGAGAAGAGCAGCTGTAAAGTTTTTGGAGGAAGCATTCACGGCATGATCTACGAAGCCCTCCACGTCCTTGATGCTCTGCTCCTGCACTCTCTTTACTTCTCCTGTCTCCTGCAGGAGCTTCGCTCCCCCAGCATGCAGCTGACTGCTCAACGCTGTCAACCTGCTGTCGATCGCGTGCGCGTCATTCTCGATCTCTCTCCTCAGAGAGTCCACCAGCCCCTCGTGGCGCCGCATGAACGCTTCCTCTTCCGACCGCAACTTCCCGATCTCCTCATTGGACATGCTCAGGGTGAGATTGCATGCCCCCTCCAACACATCCACTCGCTTCCTCATCGCTCCGAACCGCTCGGCCAGCGCCTCCATCACCGCAAGGTGTTCCTCCCTCGCCTTCTCCATCTTCGCCTTCAAGAGGTCCTCCAACCCGTTCACGGTCGATCGGTTCACTCGGGCAGCGCTGCTGCGCTGCTGCTGCTCGAGAGTGACAAGCACACCGTTCAACTGAGAGTCGGAGGCCTTGAGGCTCTCCTGCATGGCCGCAAGGAGATTCGAGGCTTCCTGCGAGAAAAAAACGTCAGCTCGTCCACATCTCGACCCGATCTCTTACCTGCATGGAAGTCGACACTGATAACTTCACGTGCTCCATCGAAGCTTCGGACTGCAGGAACTGCGTCTCCTCTTCGTTCGACCAAGCTGTCATGTTGGAGGAGAGGGCGGCCGAATGAGCAAGGGAGAGATTCTTCAGCGTGTCAGACTTGAACACTAGGGCGGAGATGGTTTGCAACATGTCCCTCCTGATGTCTTGCTCCACTTTTGCGATCCTCTCGAGCAGGGCCTGTGTTGTCTGGTTCGATGCCTCTACCAGCTTCACATCCAACTTTCCTTTCTCCGCGCTGATTGACTGCTCCTCCTGCTCCATGCTGGCATGCAGCTGCTGTTTCAGCTGGGCTATTTGATTCACGCGTTCCTCAAGCATCCAATTGATATCCTGGGAGTCTGATTGCATCTTGCCGATAAGATCGTGACGTCCTCCTGTCATGCTGATTTCTTGATTCTGCTGCATCCTCTGTAGTTGCTCCACCCCTGAACGAACGCTGCTTTCCGTCTCCTCAACCTTGTTCTGAACCGCATTCGCTCTCTGAGTTGCATGATCAGATTTCTCTCCAAAGAACCTCTTCTCTGTCTCGAAAGTCTTGTCTGTGGATTGCTCAAGTCGTTGGTCCGACTCAGTCATTCTTGTCCCCTTCTCCACTGAGAGTCTCTCCACATCATCGTGCTGCCTCTTCAAGAGCTGCTCCTTCAGCCGCAGGAGGAAGAGCCTTGCAGCAGTGACATTGTTCTGCAGCAGGAAGTATCGACTCTCCTTCAGCGCACGTTCGACTTGCACATCCTGCTTTACGCGTTGCAGAACGCGCTCCTGCTCTTGGTCGTTGTCTTCCTGGTTGGACCGAAAAGTTGCCATCGTCTGCCCAGTGGCTTTATGTCGATCCCACAGCGAACTGTTCAACCTGGAGAGCGATTGGGAAGCCAGAGTCATACTTCCATGCAGAAGGTTCCTGAGCTTCGAATGCACGTTGGACAAGGTAGTCGCCAGGCTCGTGTTGAGCTGGTCTGTGCTGCTGGTGACTGTCCCGCTGCTCTCCCGAAACCGATCAGCCTCTTCAGAAGTCAAGCGTGCGGACTCATCGGCGACTCGAACATCCTGCTGCGACAGGTGCTGCTGAAACTGTTTGTGGGCATTTCGAGCTGAGACGGAGAGGAGGTGCGATGAGTGAGCAATCCTCGATGCGTTGCTTTCCAGCTGGCCCAGGAGAAACGCACGGTCAAGTTCAGCTTGCTGCTGCAGCTCCTGCTGGGCTTCGCTCAATCGAGAGAATGATTGCTGAATCCTGACATCGAGGAAGTGAAGGTCATCATCGATCCTGAGTTGATCTTTCACAAAGTTTGCTTTCATTCTTGACAACTCAGCTTCATCATCTTCATTCTTCTTGACCTGTTCTGTTCTGACTTCATCCACATTTTCCTTCATGGTCTCGAATCTTGAGTGAGAGGCGCTGAGCAAAGTCGACACACTTTCAAGGAGCACTTTCATGGTGCTACTTAGATTCGCTCGAACTTCACCCTTCTCATCATAGAACTGGCTCATCAGAGTAGAATTCAAATCTGCAAGCTGCCGATCAATATCTGACAACAACAGTACATGATTCCTCGACTCTTCATCGGAGGCCTGCTCCAAGGACCGAGTTGCATTTGCCAGGAGCACCCTTTCGTCGGCACTGAGCCCTTCAATCTCCTCCTTGAGAGATTCTATCTTTGCTTTCAAGTCGCTGTCTCCTCTCATCACATCTGCTTCGACCTGTCGCGCATAATCTTCGGTTCCATTTAGAGTTGACATCGAAATTTCATGCATGTTTTCAATATGCCGCTCTAATTCCGAAGTCTTCGTGTTAGTTTCTGAGAGTATCCTGCGACAGAAGAGCGTCAATCTCTTTACCCCTCGAAAACAAGGGAGTTGGAACCTTTCTTTGTCGCTGATTTCTTGCTGTGACAGCTCCCCCAGACTCTGTCGAACGCTCGCCGTCTCGATGTCTGACCGGTTCTTCAAGTCGTCGGCACCCTTGAGCATCTCGGAAGCGAGGAGTTTGAAAGCTCGGGTGTGATTCTTCTGCATGTCCTCTTGCAGTCTGTGGATATCGCTGACCTCTTTCGACATGGTCTTCCGGAAGAGCTCGAAGAGCCTCTCCTGCTCATCCGACTTGGCGCTCTGTTGTGCATGCTGTGCCTTCTCGCGCAGTTCGAGCTGTTATGAAAAATCAGGTTCATGTGAAAGGAAGTGCGACTGAAAGGAAGTGCGACTGAAAGGAAGTGCGACTGAAAGGAAGTGCGATTGAAAGGAAGTGCGATTGAAAGGAAGTAAGCAGACGAAGGGATGGTGCAACGATACAACTACAGCAGCATGAAAGGCGATGTCTTACCTCCGCAAGAGCTTTCATAGTTTTCCACAACTCACCCCTGACTTCACTTGGGCCCCAGTACTTCTCGCTCGTAACCACATCTGAATTTTGTTTTTCGCATTCTGGCAAGACTGATGTGAGTTGAGATCCGTGCGAGGCACGCATACTGACCAGATGGATCTGAGAACATGCTACAGTACGTGTCACCATTGCCGTGGTTGCCTCCCGACCTCTCTTCCAGCGATTTGATCGCAAGAGCATTCGAGGGAGCTCGATGGCGCTCGTTCCTGAGCCCTACAACAGCAAGGAAGATCATAGCACTCAGTGCCGCAAAGACGAGGAAAGGTCCTCTTCGGTTCCGTCCTGCTCCACGAGTGCGGTTGTCAGTGTAGGGATTATTGGCGCACGATGGCAGGACCTTGGGTGCTCTCTCTGGAGCTTGCACCGATGCTGCCATAGCCCTGGCTGTCTTGCAGTCCTCCCTCCATCTTCCTTTGGACTGCAGGAAAGGTCGAGCAACCTCCTCCTCCTCCTCCTTCTCCCTCTCCTCCTCCTTCACAACTTCACCGCGCTGTCTGCCATCAGCGCTATTTCCGGTCTAAATGACAGTTACACTTCCGTTAAAAGTTTCCGAAGCCACCGTACGGTCTCGGACGGTCCGAGCGGCTCATCAGAGTCACTCGGCCCTGAGTCCCGCCTGCCGCAGTGCAGGCGGGCTAGCAGACGGCGGCGGCCGGTCCCAGGGTGCCAAACTCCGGGAGTCGCCCGGGCACTCCGACGAGGCTCGGAGGCCCGGCTGCGAGTGATCTGATCACCCGGTGGCACTGCGATCGGACTTGCCTCACTGTACGGCAACGAGTCCCGATCATCGCCGCGGGGCCCGTCACTGCCCGGTGATCCGACGACTGCCCGCGGCCAGTGGGTAGCCGGCGGAGCCCGGGCCCGGCTGCCGCCGCCGCGGGATCGGACCGAGTCTCACCGGGGGTCGGCCCGCCGGGTCACAATCATTGCGGCCGGAATATAGCCTCAGCCCGGTGTAGCATGGAACGGCGGCCCGCGATCAGCAGTGATGGCTACTACTGGCAGCTCAGTGTAATCAGGACTGACGGAGCACAACTGACGGTTTGCCAGTTAGACTGCGGCTCAAGACCGAGCCTTAATGGGGGTGACACAACTTGAACCAGAATTAACTCTGTGAGGAGCACATGAGATATCAGACTGTAAACTGGGATGTGAAAACCCAAGCATCCAGACATGAGAGGACAACTCGCGGCGAGGCCGCCCTCATTCCCGGCCGAAGATGAGCCTCCCTGGCAGGCCACTGCTGACTCGGAGATCGGAAGGTGGAACGGCGGTATCACGGCGGTGTCACGGTGACCCTACGGTCTCGAAGTTTCATCCGAGTCACCGCTCAAGGCTCCTTCCGACTCTTCAATCATGCTAAAAGCGGCCGGGCTAATACCGTGAAGTATCTGCGACGCGCCGCTGCCGAAGTTTGTCTCGGAGACCGGACGGTACGGTCACCGATCAAGGCTCTCTGCCCCGGCGTACGGTGTACGGTGGTCACCGTCACGGTGACTCGGTGATCGGACCCCGCCGGAGATTCAGGCCGGTGGCAAGGCGATCGGACAGGATCGGACAGTGACTGGCCCGGGCCGCAACCCGGCGTCAAGTTGCAACTGAGTCAGGACCGTGACGGACCATCAACTTGAGGCGCGGTACGCCGCCGCCGCCGCACGCCGGGCCGTACGGTCGGCAGGAGGGGCAACACTGATGACCCGTTGAATCGTTACACTAAACACTCGAGGTAGTTTGAGTTTATCATGATCCGAAATGAGTTACTGCCATCGCAAAGCAAGAGTCTTGTTGAACAGCAGCCGCCTGACCGTTTGACAGCTGTAAATGAATCATTTACAGGCTTGAGCACAGCACTCAGTGACTTGTGAGTCTGCCAGCAATCTAAGTCAAACCCTTTTCCTTGCCTCAGTATGCTTCAGGCTTGACAACAACGTACGGTCATGATACACACAGCCTCGCCCGTCTTCACGGCTGCATCTGCTTACGGAAATATTTCTGTGCATGCGATCGCACCTGCGAGGGCGTTCGAGTACCGACCTCGCGCGAGATGAGGAAGGCGACGCCTTTTCCCAGCCCGACGTTTACACGCCCGTCGGTTGCATCAGAAGCTCTAGAGGCTGGCGGACAGAATTTCTCGAGGCCTCTGAGAAATCGCTCATGCTCCTCAGCTGACCACGACCTTCTCAACAGCTGGCCTTCACTTTCACTTGCATCTGGGTCCAGACGCGATTCTGCTCGACCCCCAGCAGCACCTGAACAAATTTCCGTACCATCGACCGCTTGTTTGTCCTCGAGCTGCTTGTACCTCGCTGTTGGCTGCTGCGCCCCGTCGCTCTCTCCTTGACAGTTTTCTTGGCCGCCAGGGGGAGGAGGGACGTCTCTTTGCTGCGACAAACGATTCTCCAGCTCTCTTGTGAGCGCAAGATCAACCTTTCCTTGCTCATCAGTGGTAGCGGCTGCGCGTCGACGTCAGCGTTTCCTTGTGCCTGACTCGGTCGTGGACGATTCGCGATGAGAGAAGATAGCATCAATGGCATCTCCAAGCTCCATCCTGCGGGATTACTTCCTTGCTGTCTATGCTGAAGGCTCGAGGCCTTGTGCTCTCGCGCCTTCTGATGTGACGAGACAATCAGTGACCTCCTGCTCTGGTGGGATGAAGAAGATGGAGTGATGAAGCTCGTTCTCCAGCAGCAAATAGCAACCGCTCCTTTCGTCGTTTCTCGCAACGGTACAGGACCCGGAGTCACCACCCACGGGTGGTAGTCCCACTGACTCGGCCGGTGAAACGGGGGGTCGGTCCGGCATGGCTGACTCGGAGTTGACGTGACGGAGTCAGAATAAAAGGGTCAGAGAGATTCACGGGTCTATTGTTTACTCAAAGTTGACTTAAAATCAGTACCATTCGGTCAGTAACAGTGCGTGACTGGCTGATCGGACAGCGCCGGAGCATTCCGGTCACGCCGCAATCACCCCACCCTACTTTATCCCTGTCTCACTACCCCCCAGTAATGGGCGGCAAAAAACCAGGGTAGCTCATGCTTCCCAAGGAGAAAAAAAAAGATGCATGCATATGGCATGAATGGCTCTCCTGATTGTCCTCGTACTGATCTTTAACTTAACTTTGAGTAAAGAATGGCAGTGTCAGGGTCACGCCTCCTCGACTCTCCTGGAAGGATTGTCCTCGTCTGATCTTTAAAACCGTGGCTTACTTGAACTTTGAGTCACGTGAAAATATAAAGTGGCCCTGCCCGGTTTCATTCCTCACTAAGTGAGTCAGTGATTACGGCGTGTCCGGTCCGACTCAAGTGAAGGTAATGATCAGTTAAGTTTGCCAGTTGGGGGACAGCAGTTGCCAGGATTAGGTTTGTTTCTCGCTGTCAGAGTCTTTGCTCTTCTGAGTCTCGCCGTTTGGCCCGGCCAGTGCGACAGTGTGGCAGGGTCAAGCCTCCTCGACTCTCCTGATTGTCCTCGTACTGATTTTTAACTTAACTTTGAGTAAAGAGCCTAACAGTAGCCTAGTGACGGGGGCTTACTACGGGCCCGGCCTGCCCGGCGGCGCCCGGCCACCTACCGGCTTATCTCTGAGGCGGGCTCATTGAGAAGTTGGGTTATTGCACGTGCGGTACCATGGCGCGGGGGGCAAGAGGAGGTCGAGGAGGTCGAGGAGGCAGAGGGGGGGGGAGGAGAGGAAGAAGTGCTGACGACGCTGAGATGGACGATGAAATGATGAACGATGAGGTCGACCAGTTCATGGAAGGTAGGAACAAGATTAAGCTCGTCGATGACGAGAACGACGACGATGACGGAGAGGAGGACGTCGATGTTATCGGGCTGGATGACGAAGAAGATGATGACGACGACGATGACGACGAGGGGAACCATGTTGCTACACGAGATGTCTTCAGTGATGAAGATGAAGACAGGAAGGACGATGAGCAGACATGGTGGGGTAAGAAAAAGAGTGAGTATTACGATGCCGACATGGTGGAGGATTCGGAGGAGGAGGAGGCAGAAGAGAAAGAAGCTGAGAAAATCCGAGCAAAACGAAGCACGGCACTACAGCAGGATGACTTTGGGGACGAGGAAGTTGTGTCGAGCGATGAAGACGATACCTTGGGAGCTATGGCTGATGAAAAGCTAACAACCAAGAAGGCAGGAAAGAAGAAAGAAAGCAAGAAGAAAGCAGGAAAGAATCTTGGATATGATGGAACATTACTCGATCAATTCAACAAGGAAATGCAAGCCCTCGATGGCATCACTGTTGAGAAGATCGAGCGAGATCTGGCGGATCTTTCAGAGAAGGAGAAGAGGGAGTTGCTTGAGAACGATGCACCTGAGCTGTTGGGGCTGATCTCAGACTTCAAGAAGTTCATGCAGGAGATGCAGAACAAGCTGATCCCCGTCAAGTTGAAGCTGGTGGCTCAAGGAGCGAAGAACTCGCCAGGCTTCACCTACGTTGACTCCAGACTCCGGGTGCTGCTAGGGTACTGCAATTGTGTATCCTTCTACCTCCTCCTCAAGTCCGAGGGCTCCCCGGTCAAGAACCATCCTGTAATCGACAAGCTTGTTGAGTTCCGGTCGCTCCTAGAGAAAATGAAGCCGCTGGATGCAAAACTGAGTGAGGAGATGGACCTCCTCCTCGCCATGTCGGATGCAGAGGAGGAGGAGGAGGAGGAGGAGGAGGAGGAGGATGAAGGGGAAGAAGATGAGGACAACGACGAGGACCTTATGATGGACGAGGAAGACGAGGAGGAGAGAGCTCCAAAGAGCAAGAAGAAGTCAAAGAAGAGCGACAAGAAGCAGGGGAAGAATGCGAGGATCTCTCAGGATGGTGCAGAGCGCGAGGAGTTTCAGGATGAAAACGAGTTTGACAACGCCTCTTCATCAACAGCAAGATTGACGGGAAGAGAGAAACTGGTGAAGGCCAGTAAGAGCCATCAAGATGGGAGGAAGGAGAAGAGGAGCAACACAGGACGAATGGAATCATTTGATGATGTTGGAGATGTCGACGAGACGATTGACACGTCCGCGGACCAGCGGGCAGTGCAGGTGCTCAAGAAGAGAGCTCTGAGCGAGTACTTGGACACTCGGGAGCAGGCGAGGAAGGCAAAGAAGTCAGGGCAAGCCGAGTCCGGGGAGAGGGATGTCCCAGTGAAGGACCGCAGGAAGATCATCCAACAGGTGGAAAACAGGAAGCTCAAGTTGTCATCGCAGCGCACAGACGACGACACGAAGCGGCAGAAGGGCAGCAACGATTCCGACGACGACGATTATTACATGGCCGTCAAGGCCTCCAAGGAAAAGTCCAAGGAGGAGAAGACGCGGAAGGTCGTCAAGGAGGTACCGAGCTGCTTCACCCTATTGTTGTCCCCTGACCCGCCGTCCAGGCCACGTACCGTGAGGAGGAGAAGGTTGAAGTCGGTTCGAAGCGACAGGCAGGCCGAGTCATCACTGCCAACCGCGGGCTCGTCCCACATCGCTCGAAGCTCAAGAAGAACCCCAGGTAACAGCCGGGAATGTGGTGGAACTGAGCTGAGAATGTTTGATCGACAGGGTCAAGCACCGAAGAAAGTTCGAGAAGTCCAAGACGAAGGAGCGCACGTCCTTCTACGGGAAGCAGGTGCTCCTGCTCGGTCACGCTCTGACGTCGCTGACATGCGGAGCAGGAGAGGAGCGACAGGGCAGCATACGGGGGGGAGACGACCGGCATCAAGTCAAACATCAGCCGCAGCCGCAAGTTGTAGCCTTCACTTGCCTGCTTGTAATCATAACAACCCTTCATATCCACCCAGTATCGGCCCTTCCCTCCTCTATGCTCGTTCTTTCCCATCCTCTCCTCTTCCATCTTCCTTCACTTGCCTTCCACATTCACTCTCCTCCTCTTCTTCTCTCCTCCTCTCCTTCTCTCGTCCTACAGCACAGGCTTCTGCTCGCCTCAGTAACTCCTCGCTGCTCTCTTCTGAGCAAGCTTCTTCTGCAAGTTGTTGTTCTCGATGTACGTCGTGAACGCACTGATCCACTTCTGCAACTCCTGCCCGACCCTGTCACGTCCTCTGCAACGAAGCGAGAGGAAAGAGAAAGTGGAGGGATGGCGGGGAGGGAAGGAAGGGAAGGAGGTAGTTATACCTCCTCATCAGGAGCAGCGAGGTGGTGGACCCTGTTGATGGTGACGAGGGTGAAGGAGAAAGGTTTCTTCACGTCCTTGTCCCCCTCAGCCACCGAGATGACGTCGCTCATCACCAGATGGTCCAGCGGCTTCTGCGTGTGCTGAAAGAGGGTGACGGTGAGGAGCACGGCCAGCACCAGGGGAAGCAAGAGGTGGTGGTGGAGGAGGAGGAGGAGGAGGAGGAGGAGGAGGGAGGAGGAGGAGGAGAAAGAGGTGATGGTAGCGGCGGAGAAGAGTTGGAGCTGACCTCGTCGGCATGGTAGAGCAGAATGCCTTTGGTGAGTGTGTAGTAGCGCTTGCTCCATCGACGGAACAGTGAGCCCTGCACACCAACGTCAACAACTGAGCGGAGGAGGATGACGAGGAGCAGGAGCAGGAGCAGGAGCAGGAGCGGGAGCGGGAGCGGGAGCGGGAGCAGGAGCAGGAGCAGGAGCAGGAGCAGGAGCAGGAGCAGGAGCAGGAGCAGGAGCACTGCAAGACCTGTTTCCACAGCCATCCTTTCACCATGGAAGGAACTGGGTCGTCGATCTCGGTCTGAGTCAGGAACTGTGATCGC